GAGAGCAAAATGAGCCTGAGACCAAAAAATCTGAGAACTGCCTGTATAGAGAATTATGTGCTACACTGAAAGTGGAATCAGTCTTATTTATCTTTTTTTTTCTGAGTTTACAGTGGGGACTGAGATTCTTTGCTATTATTCTCTGTATTTGTCAAGGTCCAACCTTATACAGAAACCCAATACAGAAACTCTTATACAGAGAGCACACAGTTATTTGAATAGAGAACATGTAATATAAAGAATTATTAACTATAAGAGGGGATTGGAGTGATGAGGGATTGGCTAGTAAGAAGTACAGAGAGCTCTGAAGAGTGTAGGGATAGCAGTAATCAGGAGCAGTACTTTGGGGGCTGAGATGGAGCCCCCGACAAAGAAGAGGCCCCCCAGGTTGAGAGGCAGACCTTGTTGGAGAGAGCACAGCTGTGCCTCACCGAATGGCAGAGAAGTTGTTTTGGTGCCATGCTAGTGGAACTTGCTGAAATCTGTCCTCTGGAATTTTCTGAAAATCTTAGGCTGCTGGAGAAACAAGCCATAGTGAGGTGTCTTGCTGGCGGCACTCTGCAGAAGAAGTACCTCCGGGAGGGAGCAGTTACGATGGAGAGAAAACCTTTGGGTACCTAGCGCTGTTGCCTCCATGTAGTAACAGGAATCAAGTGTTGGAAACACGGCATGTCCTGCGGGGCCCAGGGGAGCTGTGCCTCCTCCACTCTGGTGCTGGAGTGGACCCACCAACCAGGAAGGAAGACTCTTCTTTAGTAATGTCTCCCCATGGTCCTCCAGTGACAAAGCTTGATTTGTCTTACTACTTGATAAAGAAAAGGGCTTCCCAGGTGGTGCTAGTGGTAAAGAACCTTTCTACCAATGCAGGAGACACGGCAACCCACCCCAGTGTTCTTGGCTGGAGAATCCCTTGGACAGAGGAGTCTGGCGGGCTATGGTCCATAGGGTTGCAAAGAGTCAGACATGACTGAAGCAATTTAGCATGCATGCACTGATAGAGAAAAATATTTAAAGGCAGAGCAGGCAATGAAGGATAAATTTGGAACTCAGAGGAAATAAAAAGATAAATGGCACACTCACTTTCACTTAACATGTAGTTTATAAATTATCTCTGTCTCCTAGTATTCTTGACGTTTTCTTTGTGTGGAAGTCTATTCATCGACTCAGCAAACATTTATTCAGTGACTGTCACATTCTAGGTACTTATCATTAGCAGATTCCTCTGTTCTTTGTTAACATAGAGTCTCAATTTTGTGCTTTCATGCTCCTTTTTGCCATAAGCTTCTGGGAAGGCTGGTCCCAAACTCAGCTCCAAGCCCAGCCCCATGGGGTGAGTTGCAATTGGTCTACACAGGTATTTATCTATGTGGCTACACTGTATCTTAACTGCAGCATGTGGGATCTAGTTCCTTGAACAGGGATTGAACCTGGGCCCTCTGCATTGGGAGTGTGGTGCCTTAGCTACTGGACCACCAGGGAAGTCCATACACAGGTTTTTGTGACACCATTTTATTTCTTAGAAATAGTTCTGTGGCATACTTCTGGCTAACAGGATATGAAGAAGAACCTGCAGGAGGGTTTTTAGGATAGACTTTTCCACCATCTTAAAAGTGGTATTCAGAAAGAAATAACTTTCTGTTGATGGACACTGTCAAGTCTCCATGTGATGCCTGAACTACTGTGGCCATTATTTGAGGGGAGGAGATAGCCTGAGGAAGACCCTGCAGTGCGTCTTAGGGCAGGAAACAGAAGAAAATCAAAGAATTATTCAAACCTAGGAACACTATCTCTAGGCTTCTTGTTTTAAAAGTTATTTTGAGTTGTTGCTTGTAGTTAACAGACACTAGACATTTGATATGACAAGTATGGATAAAATATTGGGAAATAAGTGAAATAAATAAAATAAAAGTTTGATTGCTATGATAAAAAAGGGTAGTGGTTGAATTTAAAAGCAACATGCTAGTTCCAGACTAACTATAACATTAAATTAGAAAAGAGAAAACAGATCTTGTGAAAATGCTTTGTAAAGCTGCCTCTTGGAACACTTCCTTGCAAATAAAAAAGTTACATAATATATTTGAGTGGAGCTTTCTTTTTGTCCCAAACTCTTCCTGGTAAGAAAGTTTAACAGTTGTTAATTAGTATTATTTTTCAAATAAATATAACATTGAGAAAAAGAGTAATACAAACCTGTAGTTTCAGTTAATAGCAGCAACTAGTATGACAAGGACAAATTAAAAAAATTTTTTTTAACTGATTTATTTTTTTAATTGAAGGATAATTGCTTTACATAATTTTGTTTTTACATTGTTTAATTGGTTTACAGAATTTTCTGTCAAACATCAACATGAACCAGTCATAGGTATACATGTGTCCCCTCCCTCTTAAAAATATTTTTCTATCTATAAAAAATGGCAGTGTATGTATTCAGTGACAAGAAATGCCCTTTCGATATTCAGAGGCACTGGGTTCCGAACTGAGGCTTCCACTCCCCTTTCTCTTAGAGCAGGGGTCCCAACATGACACAGGCCTCTGTTAGGAACCTGACCGCACGAGGGGCGGTGAGCGGCGGGCGCGGGAGCCAAGCTTCCTTTGTATTTACAGCCGCTCCCCAGGCCTCGCATTCCCGCCTGAGCTCTGTCAGGTCGGGGGCAGCGTTAGAGTCTCAAGGCAGCGTGAGCCCTACTGCCAACTGCGCATGCGAGGGCTCAAATTGTGGTGCTGGAGAAGACTCTTGAGAGTCCCTTGGATGCAAGGAGATCACCAGCTTCAGGGGATTTTCCAGTGAGTGAGCGCTTCACATCAGGTGACCAAAGTATTAGAGCTTCAGCTTCAGCATCAGTCCTTCCAGTGAATATTCAGGGCTGATCTCCTTTAGGATGGACTGATTGGATCTCCTTGTAGTCCAAGGGACTCTCAAGAATCTTCCCCAACACCACAGTTCGAAAGCGTCAATTCTTCAGTGCTCAACTTTCTTTATAGTCCAAATCTCACATCCATACATGACTACTGGAAAAACCATAGCCTAGACTAGACGGACCTTTGTTGGCAAAGTAATGTCTCTGCTTTTTAATATGCTGTCTAGATTGGTCATAACTTTTCTTCCAATAAATAAGCGTCTTTTAATTTCATGGCTGCAGTCACCATCTGCAGTGACTTTGGAGCCCCCAAAAATAGTCTGTCCACTGTTTCCCCATCTATTTGCCATGAAGTGATGGGACTAGATGCCATGATCTTAGTTTTCTGAATATTGAGCTTTAAGCCAACTTTTTTACTCTCCTCTTTCTTTCATCAAGAGGCTCTTTAGTTCTTCTTTTCTTTCTGCCATAAGAGCTCAGCAAATATTTATGAACTGGCTTACAGTGGGATAAGGCATGGCTTTGGAGTTTTAAAGGCATGAGTTAGAATGCGGTTTTTCTATTTGGTCTAGTTTAACTCCCTCCACCTATTTGAACCTGTTTCTTCACCTAACTGACCACCTAACATGGCAGTTTTAAGGGTTTAATGAGATAATGTAGGCCAAGTGTCTGATCCCACTGGGGTCATACAATAATTGTTAGCCCTCTGTTTTTCAAACTAAGGCGAGACCTCAGAGATTTGTTTTCTGATATTATTCCTCCTCATTCTACAAAACTTCTTTATGGGTATCTCAACTGGGGTTCCAACAGGAAATGCTTTTGAAGGTACACTGAAATTAGGGTTATATGAGGAGGGCTGAGATCTAGGGGAAATGTAGAGAAGAGAGGAGGCATCAGAGACTTGCAAGGCAGCCCCGCCCCGGGCTGGCCTGAAGGGACTAGCAGTGTTGGGGATGAGGATGTGAGTGAGGGGCGGAATGAGGTAATTTCAAAGGCTCTTCCTAGCTTTGGCATCTTAACCATTGTCTTGTTACTTCTGAATTGTTAGTCTGTGGCTCTACAATAAATGCAAATAAGTATACATTCTGTAGTAATCTCTTTTGTTCACAAATTTTGACTTTCAGTTTCAACAGCGAATGATCTTAACACATTTAAAATAACTAAGTTTAGGGGGAGAGCCTAATGGTTTGAAAATAAATCATGTAAGTTTATTATGTATCAAAACTGAAAATAACACAAAAAGAGGCTACCTGTTAATAGACAAGTGTGATTTGAATTAATGTTCACAATATTCTCTGCTCTAAACTTCAAAAAACTCTGTGACTCTACATCTTGACAACTTCTAACAAGCAAATGACATACACAGCAGCTGTATATGGTCATAAGAAAAGTTATCTATAGATGAAATTTAGGGTTAAATGGTACACATGCAATATGGGTGCATGAAGAAAACTAAGATCATGGCATCCGGTCCCATCATTTCATGGGAAATAAATGGGGAGACAGTGGAAACAGTGTCAGACTTTACTTTTTTGGGCTCTAAAATCACTGCAGATGGTGACGGCAGCCATGAAATTAAAAGATGCTTACTCCTTGGAAGGAAAGTTAGGACCAACCTAGATAGCATATTAAAAAGCAGAGACATTACTTTGCCAACAAAGGTCCATCTAGTCAAGGCTATGGTTTTTCCAGTGGTCATGTATGGATGTGAGAGTTGGACTGTGAAGAAAGCTGAGCGCCAAAAAATTGATGCTTTTGAATTATGGTGTTGGAGAAGACTCTTGAGAGTCCCTTGGACTGCAAGGAGATCCAACCAGTCCATCCTGAAGGAGATCAGTCCTGGGTGTTCATTGGAA